AATCTTACTATCCTTATTCTTATATTATGAAATAAATGGTGTAGTACTTTGTATAGATAAAAACGGTAATAAAACTCACAATGCAGATATTACATGTCTATTCTAGACAAAATTTTGCAATATATCCATTCATTTTAAGAAACACATTTTTACGACTTACGCTTGGAAAATAATGAACACTTCAGTTTTGATTTTGACATTAACACTATATAGATTGGCAATTTGTTAAAAACTTTTTCGCAAATTTCATTTTTGATATAAACACTATCACACAATATAAGAAATAAACAAATTTAAAGCTCACAGGTAACAAAAACTTCGATTTATATTTAATACAAATTAAAATATAAACAGTAAACACGAACGCCAATGTTGCCAAATGAACTGATTTTAAAACAAAATGGATACATGAATTGAAATTTTAAAAAATCAATATTATAAATCGGTTTTATAAAAAAAAATCCTTAAATAAATATAGAGTAGGATTACATATTACTAGACACAAATTTTTCTACTTAAAAAAGGTCTTATCCACTTTTTCAAGGCTAAAAATCCGACTACGTGGGATATTTTGATACTCCTGGTAACAATGAACAATATCCTACTTATAGACAACTTCTACAAATTTCCTCCAGAGGGCGTATCAACTAGCTTGAATTGCGAATAAAAACGACTTGTCTAACTAATGTCAAGAAAATAAACAATTTAACAATTTTCTTTTACACAGCCACTTTGATAGTTTATCATTACAATCTGTTTTTAGATCCCTAAATTTTGTACCAAAACTATTGGGACATACGTTATATTAATTTTTTATAATAATTCTTTGATTTATTTTACTTCTTAGATATTAAACTAACAAATTAAGTCAGTCCTAGTTGGAAAAAATCAATGCCAAACAACTCATAGCCATAAAAAATATTAAATATAGTGAGATAAAATTTACACAAATTAACTATTATTTATTGAGTTGGAACTAAAATTTTGGAGATTCAATATTTATGAATCTTACAGAATTTTTATACAGAGTGATTCTTAAGAAATGAATGTTATTTGATCTGCAGATTATATAGCAGAAAATATTAATTTTTCGTTTAACTGGGGGTCAAATATTAACACTTACTGATGTAGGTACATTCTGTTAAAGTTATATATGAAAATACTTCATTAATATTTTTTTGTGTAGGCATCTCATTCTGCATTATATGTTTGTCTGTGGTATAGGTATATTAATTTTTGATTGTACTTAGAAAGAATACACGTTTCTGATTTACTATCGATGATTCCCACTATCTCTACTTTATTTTCCTATAACCTATAACTATAGTGTGTGTAAAAGTAAAAAGAAAATTTGATGTTTGATTATATGATTTAAATCATGTTTACAACCAGTTTCATTTTCCACATTTTAGTATTTTCAAAAATAAAAGTTCTATTCATAAAATACGGAAATAAGTTTTGGGTTCATTCGTAAAATTTTAGAGCCACAAGAAAAATTATTGTACATTTTTTGTGGCTTAACCACGAGCTTTAAAATACGCAAATTTTATTCTATTTAATAAACCTTATGTAGATTTTACTGTTTTCAATACCTCATTATTAGCATGTATATAAGTACCCTGTATATTCTTCCTACTTTGCCTATATACATGTACAAACATTATGAAACTTTGTTTGAATTTATAAGTACCATTTCAAACGAATTTCATCGTCAATAAGTTAAAAGGACTATTTGGAATTGTCACTCATAAGAGATTTATTACATCATTTACACGTTTCATGATTACAATCACATCCACTTATATTCAATATGAAATCAAATCAATCAATAAAGATGTGCAAAGTGAAATTATAAATAGTTTTACTTAAAGTCAACTACGAGTATAATTAACATTTCAAAGAAGACATGTCGAATCTATGTTTCTATTTGAAGAATATACACTTTCTCATTTTTTTTAAAACATTACATTTACATAATCGTGATTCAGTAATTAAAAAATTGGTAAATTCATAAATTATCTTTCGAAGAAATGTATATATTATAGAAAAGACATTAATAAATATGGTGGATGCTATTAATAAATCGGACATTACAAATATTTTAAGTTTGAAGCTGTAGACAATTTTTTCGAAGTCTGGAGACTTGTACAATAAAATTTTATGCAACAAAAGTGGATATGGTGTTGTTAAGTACTAATTTCTAAGATTTAGAAGTTGTTTTAATACATTAGAGCTAGTAAGAGTTGTAATTTATTATTACTATTTTTTTTAATACTGACCAAGTCAGATGTTAGAAAGTTCAAAGCTAGATAATACAACTTCTGTCCTTACATTACCAATTAATACAGTATTACTGCAATATAAAGTTGTGTATTTATTAAAAACAGTTTATTTATTATTTATTCATAACGTACTTAATAAATTATATAATACTTAGACAGTATTCTAATTCACAATTCTAATTTATTTATTACCATTTATCTTTACAGTTCATCAAATTTCTAGAGGCTTTCGACGGCTAGACAGAGAAAGCACTACTGACAGGCATCCCGACGGATTTACGCAATGAAAGTACACTCTGCGCATCAAGTATTTCATTCAGACGTAAATGTCAGATGTAAATTTCGCTAAAACATTTCTTTTATTTTCGTTTGTGTTTTTTGCTCATTACAGTTTAATAGAACCTAAGTATGGAGTTTAATAGCAAATTAAGAGGCCGCGTGATTAACAGTCAATCTCGCGAAATAATAGCCAATGTTATAGAGTTTATGAGAAGAGAAGGAAACTTTAATTCACCTTCAATACCATTTAAAAATGTAAATGATCGTGTTGCTGCAGCCACAGGAGTATCTAAAAACACTGTCGTCCGCATTTCTGGAGAGAAAAAAAGAATCGATAACCGTGAGATATCGGAATTTTCATCACCAAGAAAAACCATTAAAAAACCAAAAACAGTTAATGATATAGATGAAGCAGCACAAGAATCAAATTTTATTTTTTTATTATTAGATAGCTATTTTTGTTTCTGAGTTGTGTTCATTTACAGGCTCAATTTTTTTCCGTTTCTCCTTTTTGATTTTATATGGGGTTTCAAGTTGTTTTTGACTTATTTCGACGTAAATCACAACAACGCACTTTTTTAATAAAGCAAACAAGTGTTAAGAGGTATATGTACGTGTAAACTACAATTACAAAAAATTGATATGAAACCCATGAAACCACCAACAAAAATGTAAAGCTAGCTTCCGTACTAGAACATGGTGTCATTCGTCGAGATAATTTATCGTTTTGTTTAATAGATCAAGAAATGTAAATATTCCCCTGTTATTTTTTATAAAATTATAAGAGAAATAAATTTTTTTCTAAATAGTATAGATTATTTTGCAGAAAAACAAAATTTCGAAAATTTTAGTAATGTTTCAGAAACAACCGTTATTAATAATAGGTACCATTTTCCTTAATAAGGTAGAAATAAAATATAAACTATTTCCACGATTTACAAAGGCCTACAAAAAAATTATAGGTATTTTCCGCTATCCTATAAAATTTATATTTTCTGACTCAATTTCAAAAGGTTGAAGGAATTCCAAAACACCTTTTATGGCATAATAATTATTTTCAATTCTACATACTATCTTTAGCTGCTTTTAAAAACGTTCTAAGAAAGTCCAATCAGACCAATTTAATCCCTAAACTATTCCACACTTTTAAAATTTAATTACCTAAAAATATTAAAAACTATTTAAAATAACTCGTTTAGCAGACTGTACAATAGCTATCTTAGTCACACGTAGCGCGTTCTCTGTCTGGGCGTTGAACACCTCTAGAAATTTGATGAACTGTACAATACAACACTTATATTGAAACTTCCCTTCTACCGACAAAGTCACGGTATTTATATTAAGCCAGCTCTGCATGAGTACATTATGGCGGTCTATAATCTCTGTATTTCTTCATTAAACAAGATCGGATACAAAGACAATATCGTCAGAATTATGTTTATTTTAAACAAATTATATTTAATCAACTTGTTTTCATAAAAAACGACCTATTTCTATATACAACCTAATTCCACAATTATTGAAAACAGGAGTATTTATGCTCAACATTCCCTGATTTGTTGCTTTGCTGGAATGACTTCCGCAGTGACTTCCCACTTCCTGAGCTCGAACACACACAAACTTTGCATATCACGTGATCGCTGGTGAAGTAGATTAACCGCAACCTCATTATAATCATTCATAATATATTATCCGGTGTCGCAATAATGAAATCTTCATAGTTGTTCATTTCTCACAATTTATATGAATGAAGTGACAGTTTTATTTTTTACAAATTGATATTTATTAACAACAAAGCAAAGCATTTTATTTGGGGATTTAATTTTATTTCGAATGACACAAAGAACCAAAATATTTATATTTGAGATTATTCGTATAAATTGTATAAAGTAGAGGTCCAAGAATTGATCCTTGAGCAACACCCCTCTTTACTTCTCATAGACAGGAATGCAATACTACTAAGTAGGAGGTCTTGATAATATTTTAATATTTGTTTAAATCCTAATTAATCGTATATTAGTCATAACAAAAATACAGACGAATACTTTATTTTTTCCAGCACTCTTAACAGTAAAATCTTTTATACTTATTTTTTTAAGATTATAAAATTTTACAACTCATCTAAAGTGGTTTTGGATGTAAAATCAGTATAGCACGGAGGTAATAAAAAAATCCAGATAGTCCGGTTCAATAAAATACGATACTAAAATTGTAAATATTAACAACTATTCCGTAAATTACTATGAAATGAAGAAAGATAAATGTAATCAAGGGAGGGAATTTGAATATATTTGATATTTAAATTATTTTGCATTCTTCCATAATTAAAAAATGTTTTATGCATACAAGTTTTCAAAACAACAGCAACAGTGTGGTGACAATGTGAAACTATTTCTATAGTTATTTTACGTTATTAAATGTGAATATTTTTTCTTTCAGAAAATATGAAACTGATTTTCATATTATTGACACTCTACGTGTCACTGTCTTGGGCAGACCGATCTGGTCTACCAAATCTAGGAATAGCCCGAAGCCTACATTTGACCGATTTGGGAACTTCTCAAAGCTTTCTACCAGAATCCCTAGCGAACGCCAAAAATGTTCACGTCAAAGTGACAACAAACAAACACTCTTCCCAGTCGGTACCTCAACCGTTCTCAAACAAACGGAATATACCTTTAAGTTCCGATAACGGTATCTCATTGGATTCCTTTAATTTCTTCGATAGAAGCTTGCACGAAGCTGAACCTCATATTGCTCCATTTCCTATTATTCCATTCAATACATCAGTTAAAAAGTCGCAACATTCTTTTCAAAATAAATTTTCTAGTTCGAATGGAGGATCGAATCAGATATTTCCTTCCAGTGCAGTACCTCAACCTTTTAATATTCACGGTAATGTTAATGTTCCTGATGATTCCAACCAACAAACATTCGATGGACATATAGGTTTCTCACAACAAGACACACATTCTACCTATCAACCTTTCGATGGATATACCGAAACAAACACCCCAATTTATCCAGATACTACTATTTATGATCAAGGAGTGACTAGACCAGACCATCATATTTTCACTCAGCCAGATTATCAACAACATTCTGGCAATATACCTCCTTTTTTGCATACTCCTCAAGCTCCATTAGAAGAAAACAGAAATCACCAAGGTTCAGTAGATAATTATGTTCAAACTGAAGATAGAGAAAGGTTAGAAGAAATCTTGGAAAGAGATTGGTCGGATTTCACTGTAAGTTGTGTAAAAAAACGTATAATTAATTACTAAACGAAAAATTTGTTTATAGACCAGATTCAACAAAGTATACAACACCGTGGAAGAGCAACGGTTCCGAAGAGAAGTATTTGTAGAAAATAGAGCTAAAATCATGAGACTCAACATGGAATACGCCGAAGGACGAAGAAATTTCGTCCACAAGATCAATCCTTATGCCGATATGCTTCTCCATGAGTTTAACGATCAACATTGCGGTTTCAATCGTAGTAGAAGTATACCTAGAACACCGATCAAGCAAGCTTCTGCTTTTCTACCTAGTGCTAACGTTGTTTTTCCTTCAAGTGTCGATTGGAGGGAGGTTGGAGCTGTGGGGCCTGTCAAAGCGCAGGGAAAGTGCGCTGCTTGTTGGGCTTTTGCTGCGGTAAGTTTTTGAATATTTTCCCACTACAATAATAGCTGTCTTTATATTATAATTTCTGTCACTTGATTCTGTTTATGAACTTACATCTGTTGAAAAGTGCAACTCATGCCAGTCTCAGTTATTAGAAAGTATGTTTACAATAAGGAGGCAGTGACGTGACATGAAAATTTCATGATCCTGAAGTCTTTGTTTTTATGTTTGTATGATTTAGATTTACTTGTATCAATCTTTGGAAAACTCTAATTACATTTTTATTGTGATTGATTAAATTAATTGCAAAAACAATTAAATCGTCAAGATAAACAAAACAGTATTCATAGTTAAGTTCAAACATTGCAAGTGTCATTGCTCGAAAAAATGCACTAAAGCTTGCTTTCAAAATAGGAAGTCGAGTTATATGATATTGATCTCCATCTGTAGCAAAGGCTGTATATTTTCTGCTTGTTTTCTCTAATTTTATCTGATAATAATCTTGAGACAAATCAAGATTGAAAAATACATTGCACCTAACAAAACATCTAAAATTTCTGTAATGCAAGGTAATGTAAATTCAACTGTCTATAATCTATAACTATTCTAACTCGTCTTTCACCATTTTCATCTAAACCATTTTGTGGGGTACATTATCTGAATTAATAATTAGTGGACTGTAATTGTTAGGGCTTCGCTGGTAGATCCTGAAATGGCGTGTAAACGAAAACGATGTACTTTATTAAACACTTTTATTTACAATACAAACTATATACACTATTTACACAGAGGTGAAAGATATGGCCAGAAGCCAGACTTACATAAGATGCCCAGTAGGCAGAGCTTGATAATGAATATATTATAATGCAATAGAAATGCAATCTATTATGACTGCTACTGCAGAACAGTTAACAGCTCATAGTGAAGTGATGAAGTAATCGTACTTCCTGTCTGAATTCAATCCAGCAGGAAGCCGAGTTGTCAAAGTTACCAACTTGAAGTAATAAAAAGTAACTAAACTAATAAAATAATAGTGGTGGAGGTTGTCTCCAATACCTTTTTTAGAATAATTAATAAAGAAGATTGCCATTCTGATTTAGTTTCTTCGATAATTCCACTTTGCAACATTTTATCAACTTCTGAGTGAATTTGTGTTTTTTGAGCATGAGACAACCGATAAGGCTTTATAAAAAGTGGTTCTGCTAAATCTTTTATTTGAATTTTTTCTTTGCAAATACTAGAAACAGTTAAAGGATCATTTTCGAGATGAAACACATCATAATATTTTACTAAAATTTTTCCAATGAGTTTTTCTCTTTCATATTTAAATGTTGTAACTGAAAAGGTGGGTTTTGTTGTGAATTAGCACAAATTATAGTTTTCTAATTTCAATTACTTATGAAAATAACTGTTTAGTAATCAAAATTACTGTTCCTTGTAAATAAAAAAAAACTGAATACGTGTTGTTATTTATTTGTAGATAAATGAAACACATGCATGTAGTTACATGTATCTGGCTTTTCTTCATCTAGTATTAGAAACCTCAATCTAGTTAGACTTTCACATTGATGCAGGACGTGGATTGATGTTTCCTTTTCTTATTCACAGAACCTGAATAAATTAAAAAAAGAATAAATTACAAAATATCTTAGAATTTAAAAATAATTTAATTTTGTAAAAGAAGTAAAAATTTACTTTTTAGAAGGTAAAAATAAATAAATACCTTGGGAGATTCTACTTCTAGTACACACCAACTACGGTTGAATATTACATTGTTCTTACTTCTTTTTTGCAAAAAAAGTAAAATGTATACCTGTATTTGATACCCTAAAGTGGTCGAATTATCTGCAGCGTACGCTAGTATCGCTTTTGCTTCCCCTACCATAACTTCGCACTAAGCGAATATAATCATCATACGTTTCCACATATACATTTTTTATACTACTTCCCTTAACGAAGTATCTACTAAAAAATTTTTCAATAATTGGTTTAGTACAATCAAAAAAGTTTACTTTGTGTTTATTAAATTACAACTGGAAGACAACAGTTCTAAGCTATTTTTCACAGTATTTTAGGCCTCAATAACACTTAGTTTCAAAAAAGAATTGTTTAACTAGGTGTAAGTAGACGTTTGCAATAAATACTTATAAATTGGATTTTAAATAAAATGTTCGATTATTATAGATAAATAAATCTTCAGGTGAAAAGTGATCTGAACAAAACTTTGGCATCTTTCAGTTTTGAGATTTTCCTCATTTATTTTCAAGTTGTTCAGCCACAATGACATTGGACAAAGTCTCTCGGAAACCTGTAAATGTATATACCATAAAATAACCAGTTTTTACAATTAGGTATTTTTATATCAAGAAATAAATAAAACCCTAGCACATTTGTTACGCCCATGGATATCTACATTATTTACATTTCATGAGATCGATTTTGACATAACCTACCTGTGAAAATAGCAAGCATTGGTTTTGGGTGATTTTGGTCCAAAATGTTCGGAAAACTATGCATCTCTTTACTATTTTGAAATGTCTAATCACGTTTGTAGATACTTTCTTTATTATAAATAAATAAAACAAGAATATTCCACTAAAATAAAACACCCAGCAACACTTTTAAAAACATACACAAACAGGGTTGCCAAATGTTCAGTTAAAATATAGTATTTAGTGGTTAAACCGATGTAACCTAGTGAACAAAATCTAAAAATATCTAATTTAAACACCTCTATTTAATTAAATAAGAAATTTTATGAATATGATCCAGATTCTTAAATGAACTGTTAAATATTAAGCTCCATATTAAGTATCTTGAACCTTGAAACATTGGGAACTAATCATTATTATCCTTATACGTTTAATCAAAACAGACACTGTGGCAACCTCTGCTGGTACCATCGTTTGTTGTGCATGCGATTATGAACCTTATTATCATACGACAATTGTTTATGTAAACAAGGCGTATCTATTCCAATACATAATCCAATCATTCTATGTATCCGTTGCGACATCTATATAATGTAACAACCAACATACTAGTTATGCTGGTTGCCTAATCAGTAGGATACATATCATAACACACAACAAATCAAACGAATAATTCGTTTGATTTTGTATTGAGTTGAGAAATTTTGTAAGAGTCCTTTTTTATGTATATTCAAAAAAGCCATCTTTTAAAATTAGTTTTCGAAAATTGCACCGTTATGGAGTTATGGTCCGAGGCGTATCTCGTGGTACACCCTGTATAAGTAAGTATGTTGTAGGGTATAGGTTATAGGTAATGGGAATTGTTTATTTTTTATTAAACAATAAGTTTGTGTTTTTATCTGACGGTGTATCAAAGAATTTCATTTTAACTTTTTCATTATTTTATCGTTTTATTTATAATTTTTTAATAAAACTTAAAGAAATAAAAATCAACAAATGTTTTTTATTAAACCTCACTGTGACACTGTGTATCAAAAAATGATATTTCAAGTTTTATTTAACATAGATTTTTAATTCTTTTTATATTTTTATAAATTAACTACATAAATAATAATCAAGCTTTATGTGCGCACATGTTATTTGTAGTTGGAATATTCATAAAGTATTCATATGTAAATGAATCCAGGTATTCGAATACATCAGTATTCAAATACTTTTTTCTTTGTATTCGAATATTGATTATTCGAATACAATTTAGAATACAGTATTCAGGATTCGTATTCGAATACCGGATTTCAGTATTCGACCCAACTCTGCCTAGTGTTGCCAACATTTAAAAGTTAATTTCCCCTGCACGTTAAATTTAAATAGTATTTTTTGCTCTTATTTTTCATTATTTTTCCGTTATTACTAGAAATAACTAGAAATGACGTCACTGTCTTAATATTCTAAAAATAGTTTAGGAAGCACATCGCTAATTTAGTTTTCTTGTAAGTATTTTAAAAATCGATTCAGACCTCGATACGAACACTTCGTCCAACGAATACTTTACGAAAAAAAGAGAACAAAAGGTGACTTATTAACGAGACTGCAGGACAAATATCTCACTACAATGCAACCTCGAAAATGCGCTTTTAATAAATCCTTTATTTTATCGCGTAGGCCGGAGCTTTGGAGGGTCATCAGTTCAGAAAAACTGGCAACCTCGTGGATATTAGCGTCCAAAATCTAATCGACTGTACCGAACCGTATGGGAATAATGGATGTACAGGAGGACTTATGGATCCAGCTTTCGAATACGTTAGAGACAACAATGGCGTGGATTCCGAACAATCATATCCTTTCGAGGAAAGGACCGCTGAATGCCGGTTTAGAAGAGAGGATGTAGTGGCTACTTGTACCGGTAAGAGACCTACCTGATTTTTTTAACATTTTATGGCATGTCAACGATGCATTTATATGGAATTACTCTTGCGAAACAATTTATGATATAACATTAGTTTAAACATTTTATGATAAATAACTGTAGAAATATTACACCTTTCGAGGACAAAAGAAAATCAAAATGGCCGTGCAATATATTTTATATAATTTAATATAAAAGTCTATATTACGTTTATTTAGAAGCAAACCGAACACCTTAAAAATTTCCAATTCCTTCTAAGCCTTTATTTTTAATCCGATTTTTTAGGTAATACCAAAACTTGATGACATGATTTTTATTTGCAGAGATGATTGATTCTTGGATTCATTTTTTCTTGCTCTGTGTATTTGAAGTGTTTCACAAAAAACACTTCTTTCTGGACCTAATAGTGTTAGGTCTGATTACTCTATTCCAACTGTCATTTAATAGTATATTCTGTAACAAGGTTGGAATGAAAATTCGATACGGATGAAAGATTCTGAATGCAAACGTGAGCGAGTATGAAGAACCACGAGTAACAGATTGTACTTTCTCCATAGCCATAGACAAAGTAGGGGTTGAATATAGTAAAATAAAACTTTAAACAGAATGAAATATTTAATCTAAGTTGTATTTATTTAAATTAGTTGCATAATTTGTCAGCTCATTAAGGATATTATGAAATTCTATATAAGAATCATTTTAATCACCCATTTTTGAATTTAAGTTCGATTTAACAAACCACGCTTATCTTTATTCAGGCAAATTTAAATTAAATACTTCGTCACGTATAACTGTCAGTCATGAAATTCCTGACTATCAACGATGCGGGCGTAGTAATTACAGTCATTGACAAGTAACTATTACATAATGAATTCAAATGATCCAACACTAAAAACTGATAAAGCAGTTTTAGGTTTGGATGTATCAGTTAGGGGAATCTGTAGAAAAACCTTTCGAAGATCAATGGGGGTAAGAAATTTAGCATCCCTAAGTTTACTCAATAGTGAGTCCACTAAATGCATAGGATATAACTACCAGAAACAGTATGTTGATTCAGACGTATACTATCTAAACATAATCTTTTTTTGGTACTAGTTTTCTTATCAACTACCCAAAGTGGACTGAACCAAGGAGAAACAGATGGTTGTATAATACCTAATTGTAGTAAATTAATAAATCATTAAGTTATCTTGTTACATGGACCATCATGGCAGGTGAAAATGGGTACTGTCTAGAAAAAATTGGTTTTGTATCCCCAGTATCAATATCATGTTTAATTAAATGTGTAGATCCTAGAGAATCTTTTGGAGCTATAGTAGCAAAAAGATTTATCACTCCATTAAGTTTCGATTTATGTTCAATAGACAGATTTGACATTGTATAGAATAATAAACAATATGAAAATTCACCACATCTAATATCAATATTAAATAAATTTAAAATTCTATGCCCAAAATTAAATTATGTTTTTCTGTAGGTATAAGTAAAATTCTTAAAGTTTTTGTAATATTATCAACATTGACTGGTACATTTATAAAACCTAATACATTTTGTGAAACCCCATCAGCAGTAGTTACATTTAAATCATTATCGTATAATATGTATAGGTGTATTTATCTTATGTATAATATTAAAAGCTTGTTGACCTAAAATTGTTGAATTAAAACCTGTATCTACTAAAGCTAATATTTCAATATTGTTTCTTAAAAAATAATGCACTTGAGTTATTGCTTAGAGAAACACCCTGTATGTTTGACCCTTCCTCTACTATTAGAGATGGTGAGGTACTGTCATTAACTAAAACACTATCTTTTTTAAAGTTACAAGAAATTTTTTTAGGCATGGCACTGGAGTTAGATATATAGATATAGAAGTTAATTTTGCTTCCTGTTTCCTGTACCTAGTGAATTGTTTTTTCGAGATGGTCTTGGCAAATTTTGAATATTTGTAAGACTGCGGCCCGTAGCCAGACCTTGAGGTACAACCTGTAGTCCGTTTTTTGAACAATTAGGACAATTCACTACAGTTTTATTTTTGTATCCACAGCGATAACAAAAGATATTCCGTTTAGAAAAGCATGTTGAATAAGTATGTCCAACTTTACCACAGTTATAACAAGAAATATTACCTAATCTACTTTTATTTAATTGATTATTGTTACTACGGTACTGGTATTCGTTGAAAAATTATTACTACCAAGCGCAGCAGTATTATTTACATGTGATGTTTAAAATTTGGAGATAAACTTTGAGCATCTTCTAGCTACTTACATAAAATAGATAATTCATCAATAGTCTTAGGGTCTTGCTATACTAACTGAGAAATAAATGTAGGTAAAACTTTTTTCCGCAAACGTCAAAAAAAGTAGACATTATTAACGTCAATTCATGATGTTGAAGTATGATTTCACAGACGCCACTTTTTTGTACGCTGACGGCCGTACAAAAAAGTAGAATTTTTAACAGGGAAAATAATTATTAGTTGAACTTTTAAACTTTATTAACGATAATAATTATTAATAGTAAAATTACAGTTATTTAAGGTTGCACCGCACATATTTAATGCACTACCTGATTTATTCACTTCCAATTCAAGCGAAGTTTGTGCAGAGTTGAAAGAGTTCATCGACAAAATTTCCCGTGACTCCTTACTTGTTGTTGCTTCTGTTACATCAACGTCGACATAATTTCGCTCATGAGAAGCTGCATTCAGGTACATTGAAGAAGAATTCGACAACAAGATTTTTTCTGCAGTTTGTTTTTTATTAGACAAAGAGTCTTCAATGTATCCTTCAGCGACAGTGCTCGACCTCCAACCTCCATGCCGTTTCAAACAAGTAATATCAGCTCCTCCATCCACAAGCAAAGTAGCTGAAGTTCTTCTTAACGCATGGCCGGTGTAATCTTTTGAATTCGGTAGTTTTAAATAAGTTGCTACTGTTTTGGGTACGTTACTAATTGTATGAATTCCCATAACCATGCGATAACATTTTCCCTTTTGAAATTTCAAAAAAAAGCGTCGGCTTTCCATAGCTTGTGGACGTAAAGAAGTATATTTTCTGTAAAGATTTATATATTTTTCTCCAATAATTGTGAACGATCGTGGCTTTTTAGATTTACTATCAGGAATCTTTATATGAATAACAGATCCTAAATCTTTTATATCGTCTATTGTCATGTTCACCATTTCATCGCATCTACATGCTCCAGATACGCCCATTATTAGAACAACCTAAAAGTAGTATGTATTTAATAACTTGATTGTATTTATGCAGGTTAGAATATTATAACTAACCTTAATTCCTAGATATTGCTCATTAGGTGCATTATTTAAAAAATCTTCAAACTGGTCTTTTGTGAATACCTTTGACTTTTTGGGAGTATACCCTTCATTCTGCTTCTTCAGATAAGCACGTAGTTTCATATATTTGCTAATATCTAATCCATGTTTAATATTCAGTAATGATTTTATCATGGAATACTGAGACCACATTGTTGAACTCTTCATTTTTAATTTAGTTGTCATTTCAAAAAAATAAGCTAGTAGCACATTTTCCGAATAGTTTGAAATGTTTTTATCATTGCACCATGTGAGAAATCTTTCGTAAGCATGATTATAAACTCTACTTGACTTAGTTGGAATTAAATCATTCGTAGCTGCCTTAGCAATGTCAACAACGTCGGGCGGTGTACAGTTGGGTTCTGAATCCGACATAATATAATCTAAAAGAAAATTTCAGTACACTTTACTACAACAAACGAAATTTTGATGCTCAAGTACTTACCAAAAATGCACAGTCCAATTGTTGCTTTAAATCACTTACAATATTTCTGACATTAATAAAATATTATTGAACTGTCAAATTTGTTTTTGACTTGGCAATCACAAAACCAGTAACCACGGAAATGTAGTGCGCAGTTTTATAATTATTATTCTCTGAATTTATCAACTTCGTTGCAATCGTTTTGAATTTTTATTTAAATATTAATTAGTTCTATAGTCTGGATGCCGTTTGCGGAAAAAATAGCATGTTTCATTCGGAGCAAAAGCACTTTTTGTGGCTCGTCTGAAATTGTCGGCCTCACTAACGTTCGGCCATCAAACATTCAGACTCGCCACAAAAAGTTATACTTTTACTCCTAATAAAACAATATACTATTCTTTTAATAAGAGAGTTAATCTTAAAAAGTTTTTCCACATATGAAATGTATAATGTTGTACTTTCAGAATTAAGTTGTTTTCTATTTTGAATTTCTAATTCTAAATTATATAGATAGTCACAAGGTAAGAAATGTAATTTTAATTGTTCTACAAGGTGATCCCAGTCAGTGAATTTAGAACAATTATTCAAATACCAAAATAGAACATCACCTTTTAAAAGATCAAAGCTACGTTAAAACACTTGTTGTTTCGAAAGACCTCTAGACAATTTTAACATTTCAATATATTCCAAAAAATCAAACAACGAACCATCACAGAATACACCCCATTTATGAACATCTACACTTGTATATGAAGAACAACTAACTTGTTCTGTAGATACAGTACTAGAGTTAAAACTAGAAGAATTATTATTAATTTTTTCTGATAAATCAGCTTCTAACATGATTATTTTAGTTTTTATTGTGTTTTGAGCTCTAGCTTACTCATGAGAGTCTATTTTTAAATTAGCTACCCTATTAGACAAGTGAACTAATCTAGAATTAATTCGTTTAAAATCTGGATCAGATTTATTACCAATAAAATTTTCTATTTCTGTATCGACTTCTTTAATTGACAATTCTATTTCTGTGATATTATCTTCATGATTATAAGGATTATTTTTCTCTGAAAGACTCCTATTGTGTGACTCTTGAGATAACAAACCACTAAAAATCTTTCTTTTTTGTTCTACAGTAGAAGGCAAGTCTACCCCTGTGATTAAAATTTCATAGGTTGGCTCATGAGTTTTTAAATGTTTTGAAATCATTTTAATAAAGAGGATATCAGTCAGAAAAAAATGTAAACTATTTAATTAAATGAAAGCACAAATTTTATCACTAACAAAAAAATTTTTACTCGATAGGCACAAAAATCAACTTTAGGTAAAAATCCATACACATATAAGTCTTACTCAATAAATCGTTTAAATAAAAAAAAAAAAAAAAATGAAAACTTTTGACACAAGGCATAAACGACAAATGACATTTGAGTAAGAGGTGATCGTGTCGAAATAATGAAATAAGATTCTGCTACTAGAGTTAAAATGAAATACGTGTAAAATACATATGAGGCAAGGCTTTCAGAATTACTGAGGCCCTTCCTATGGGACTTCAGTACTGCATTCGTGCAGACGAAAACATTTTCTTACCCCCATTTTTTAAAACTTTTTTTCATGTTTCCGAGTTTTCGAGTCTGAAAATGCAAAAAAATTCATCTGGTCGTCTGTGTGTATGTATGCCGGCACGATAATTCTAGAATGAAAGTTCTGATTGACTTGCGATTTTGATTTTCTTGAATAATAACTTTTAACTTAGAACCCTATTAATGGTTTCGGAAGAACTACACTCAGTACTGACCATGGAGAACCATTTTTTTTTGATAACTTCATAATTAAATAACATTTAATTATTTCCATGCTATTTTTTGACACCGTTTAAATTCAAATTTAACCACACTTTCAGTTTATTTTATTTTAAAATTCAACAAATTTTTTTTTGGGCAAAAATTTTTAACAAGAGAATACCATATAAATCATCTTGTTTTTCAAATATGTAAAATTATATGGGTAATATAATACTTCACCTTTAAACTATGCAAATGAATGTTATTTTTATTTGCATCTTGCCGTTAATATTTCATGTCAGAGCTATTTTGAATCCGCGTTCTTAATTATTTCATGGGAATTTCCAAAATTTTTATATTTAATAGATTCTTACGTAATTCTCCGATTTAACATTTTAGCATATCAAAAGATCCATTGATAAATTTCAGTAAATATGTCAATGTGTACTTGATTAAATTAATTATACATAATTATTGTTTTCACTTTTAATAGTAGCCACTGAATACAGTTATTGTAAAGTTGATGAGTACATAATTATTTATTAATAAAATTTAATTATTTACGGAGGTGTTAAAGTTATGTAATCAATAAGTATAAGTGTGTTTGGATAATTTATACCATTTATATAATTTATGTCTATACGTTTGTCTCGTATCTACATTAAGTTTTATCTATTTTAAGTTTTTATGCTTTAAATACTAATGCAGCAAAAATGTTTGTATATTTATTTCTACTCCTTATTTCTGTAAAGCCACGTGTCCAGCATAAACATGTATTTTAAAGATCTGTATGAGCCTAACTATCATCAAATACAGTGAAAGGTACTTTAAAAAAAACTATATATTATTCAGAATCTACCTGTCATTTTTTATCTCCAAAAAAATTTATATTTTCCATATTTTTGTGTTATGTTAAAATTATGTTATTTTCATTGACAACTACCTGTCATTTGTCATCTAACATATGTAAATTCTACCATTTTCTTATGCCTTAATTATTAAATTATTTTTTGCAGATAGCCAAATATTTTTAAATTTGTTTTATATTAATAGAAAATCTAAAATGTTTCATATGTTAAAAGTAAGTTTATGTTACATAGACTACTCTTGCTCGAAAAAAATCTTTAGTATCTTTAGTATCTTTAGTATCTTTAGTATCTTTAGTATCTTTAGTATCTTTAGTATCTTTAGTATCTTTAGTATCTTTAGTATCTTTAGTATCTTTAGTATCTTTAGTATCTTTAGTATCTTTAGTATCTTTAGTATCTTTAGTATCTTTAGTATCTTTAGTATCTTTAGTATCTTTAGCATCATCTTTAGTATCTTTAACATCACAATAAAGTTTTCCTTAATCGAAATTCGTAAAATATAGAATATTTTGGTTTCAGGTTTTGTCGATATAGACGAAAACGATGAAAAGGGTTTGGAGATTGCTCTGGCCACCTTGGGTCCAGTAACAGCTGCCATCGATGCTGCCCGAGAAACATTCCAGTTCTACTCCGAAGGGATCTACGACGATCCAGAATGCGGTAACAAGCCCGAACAGATGAATCACGCAGTACTGATCGTCGGGTATGGTACCGATCCAGATGGCAAGAAGTATTGGTTGGTGAAGAACTCTTACGGACCTCAATGGGGAATTGGAGGTTATATTAAAATAGCTAAGGATAATAACAACCAATGTGGTATTGCTATTCAAGCCAGTTATCCTTTAGTTTAATAATTTTACACAAAATTTTCTGTTATCAACTAGTCCAAAATAGATCGTTATACAAATAGGCAGAGCAATTTTATTGTTATGGAAAGAAGTTAATAATTCTTTGTTATCTGTTATCTATTAGGATAAATATTGTATTTTACGTTTTTAATTTTTAATTGAAAGCCATTACTCGAATATTAATTACAAATAACTATTAGAATAAGTTGAAAAGACCTCGAGACATGTGTTCGTTAAATAAAATGTTTAAAAAATTTGCAAATGGTTTTTTATTTTCCTCAAATTCACAGAATAAATATTTGTAATGTTGTTGACTGCAGGTGGCCGCGGCATGCTTTTGATCTAGAAAAATCAAACAAGAATATGGCGGCCACAATAGATTCACTGGCTCCGTATTTCTATTTTCGCCAGCAATACCAGATATAACCAGTTAGAGAGAGGCGTAGTGCCTATAATGGCCAGCGGTATCGTAATAATAATAAATTTAATAAATTTATCAAAGAATTTTTACATATAATTTTTCTTAGCAATCTAAAAAAATAAATTGTGATTTAACTCAGTGGCCTATTGAGACTTTTGGAAAAATAGACCCTGGCCATAGGTGTTGCTGTAGCCAAACAATTTTTAATTTTTATACACACAAAAATCGTTAAAAGAAATAAAGGGACTAAGCCTAAACTTTTAGAGTATTCTGAAAATATCATTCACTATTATTAAATTATTTGCAGCTTGGTCCACTCTTCATTTAAAAGCAGACGAGATGGTTTCTTACAAGCATTAAACACAAGGAAGAGCAAAAAAAGTCAAAGGGCTTTACTAAAAGAACGTACATCCACCACGTCCACTCTCACTGGAACGCTGCAGTGGTGAGGTGGGGTGGAAGGTGCGAGTTTAATGACAGATGACATACGTAAATTGACTTGTAAATACAAGTCTTATTAACGAATGTAATTGAGAGAGATGGTATGATGAAAAAAGCTTCTTATATTATTTCAGTGACGGTTCAAAATAGCTGAAAAGAACTGTAGAAGATTTAACTTTACTATAAAGGGTTTATTTTCAGAACTAAGGTTTTTCCGCCCACAAGCATTAGTGTGTTACCTAGTTCACAAAATAAAATAATATATGACGGTCTAGTTAAATTCATAAATTATATTCTTGTATTTAACTTTAAACTGTGGCAAATGGATTTAGTCCGATGCCAAAAACCCTCCCTTCTAATGGGGAACTTCTCACACACAGAAGGTTTTTCCGCAGTTAAATTAATCAAAAGTAGTGTCATTTGCGTTAAGAAACTATGCAAAAATAACGGAAATTGTTATGCCTGTATTGTAGTCACCGCCAATTTTTCATAAAAATCTTTAATGGCCATAATTTTCTTTATAAGTGTTTCTTGAACAAGAAAACAATACCTACTTACTTTTGGATATTCTATTACTAGTCATGTTGCTCGACAATTTGGAAATAACGTATATTTAGAAATAATGGACTATTTAAACAGTGTTAGGAAGAAAAAAAGAAAGAGGTCCGGATAACTTTACGGACTATGAAATTTTAAAGAAATTTTGAAGGCAACGTCGCAAAAATCAAGCACAGGCGCCCTTGACTGTCAAATCGAAAAAGTTAAAAACAATATATCGTGAGAATGTCGTGAATAAATGCATATTCTTAATTTTTTATCTTACAAATGTGTTTTAATAATGTTTATTGCTTTAATTAGGTTAGTGCACGCTTATGAAAGGTAAAAAAGTGTAAAAATATTATGGTTTTACTGAATCTTTATGGAAAAAGTGACAGAATTATTGTCCCTAATAACGTTTTTAATCAAAAGAAAATATTTAATAACTTACCACCGCTCCTCCTTCTTCAGACATATGTTTGAACGGATTTGACTTCTCTCTTATGAAAACTTGTCTTAAAAACTCTCTCCTTTTAGCGTTTATTTTTAAAATTTCCAATTCCTCCTTCGTAGGATCGCCTGCCATATTTAGAAATTTTAAAATACAATTTTGATCGATTTGAACCACCTAGCACCGTTTTCCTTATTGTCATCGTGACAAGAAAAATGTCAGTAAGAGCTTTCATAGCTGTCAAGATTTTTGAGGGAATGTTTCATTGTCATAGCCCTCAGAAGGTCTAGATACCGCATCGTAAAAACATTTTGACCCCCCATATGATGGGCGCCATGATAAATAAATGTCAATAAATTTTAAGTTGGCAGTAGTGACAAGACAGAATCGGCGCAAGTTTAGTAATAAGCGTAAGATCGACGTTCGACGTATATAATCGATTTTATTATCTGTTGTGTTGTTTATTTTGTTCTTCTAGTAAAGGTTTTATTTAAAACATTATTTTTTAGTTTAGTCGTTTAGTGTTTTATTTTAATAAAAAACATTTGTGGTTTGGTGTTAAATTTTTACAGGATTTTCAAAATCTCTTTTTGTTTTGTACGTGAATGTAACAATGCATCTAACGGTAGAAGATACAAGGAAGGAATAACATTTCATGTGTAAGTTTTCACAAATATTTGTTTATTTACAAAATCAAATAATTTGTATGTTTTGTTGTAGCATACCAAAAAATGTTAGGAAAGAATAACTGATAGCCATAGGAAGACAATTGAATCATTTTGTGACTTTAGTATAAGCCCAGAAAATTTGGGGATACTAGCTGAAACGGCAAATGTGTTATTGGCTCCTTGTTAGTGACCTATTGTACAATTTTTCCAACACAAGTTCCATAATCCTTTGAACTTGGCTGCACCGTACTGATGAAGACCAATAGTCAGAAAAACGTGTCGACCGTTAATTCTTTTTTACTTTTTTTTTATTCGGAAAATGTCCACTATTACATATTATAGTTTGTATGTTTTATGCTTTATTTTATTATATGTAATAAATGATAGGAAATATACTTTTATAGTAAATAAATTGATTAAAGCAATATGTAAGAATAAGTTTATCTAAGGATTAAATTGTTAAAGCAATTTTTCATATCCATTGTTTATTAATTTGTTTCATTTAATTCTTTCTTATTGAGTGAGTTATTTCATATAAATATGCGATACTTGTAAAATGTAATATTTTCTTTTAAATAGGTATATATTATGTTTGTATAAAATATTGTTCAGTTAATAAAAACAGAAATATTTTGTCTTTTATTCAAAAGAAGTTTTTTTTCAAAATATATTTACCTACCCCAAAAAAAGATTAATAAAACCAGTTAGTCATATACACATTTTCTATATATTTATAGAGGTACTTTTTAAATAACTTTCAATACATTCGAAATCTGTGGTTTTATTAAACAAATAATAATAGGTATTCTCAAAAATATTTAAAAATAAAATCGAGATGGGACTCTTGTATAATTTAGTGACTATTTGCCTATGGTTAGTGCACTGCTGTATGTCCCTGGGTTTTCTACATTAGAACAATACTGCTTCTCCACTCTAGCAGTATTTTTTGCATCTCAGATTATATTTATTAAAAAACCAAGGAATTGTTTTGGGCCTATTGCTGTGCCCTTTTCCAACATTCCCAAAGTTTTTTTTTTACTTTCTGCTGATTGGATCTCCGATAGCGACAACTCCATTTGTTGTTCCACTAGTTTTTTATCAAATTTTTAAAATAACTTCTATATATTTATCTTTTGCAATGACTTTGCTTACCTGCTTCATAATCTCTTCCCTATGCCCAATTTCTCTAACAGGTGAGATCTTATACTCGCTCTATTAAATCAAATTATCATTATAGTTTATTTGAAAATGCTTGGTAGCACAGTTTTTATGGCAAAGGTCCATATTTTTATATAATTTTGCTATTATTCATTTTCAAATAAACTATAGGAATAGGAGTAATCTATTAGTTTTTCTAAAAATACCTTGTTACCGATGTAAGTATATCTTTCCCTAGTTAAAAAATTCGAGTTTTTATTTTCATAATATAATATAAATAAATGACCGGTTAACAATCACATTCTTTTAAATAGTACATTTGACATTGAAGTAGGTATTTTCTCCATATTGCCAAACAGGAACAGATGATTTACTTGTAATTTGAATTATATTACATAAATCTCACTGAATTTCTCTATAATTCTCATAGCAATATGTACACAAACCACTTATCCAATAATATATAACCATGTAAAAATAACATTTCAAGAACGAGAAATTTTATAAAACCGGTCCTGTCTGAACAGATCTAGGAAAATCAAATAGGTTTGTCAAAGTTTTGTTCTTAATTTGAAATTAGAAATTGTGCGTCTCACTCACTTATAACTAATAACAAAGTGCAGATTATCGGTGTTCACGTATTACAGAACACACAAACTAAAAATCAGTGTAGCCAAAACATAAATTTACCTAACATGGCGACAAGCTTGAATGGGGTCATTTTTTTGTATTGACAGTATACGCCAAGCGGTATCTAGACTTTCTGAGGGCTATGTTCATTGTTCATTTAAAGTATAAGGGATGGATCATGAAAAATATTATTATACAGGGCGGCATTTTAAAACCTTAGATTAGATTAGATTAGATTAGATTAGGAGTTGGACGTTATTTGTCCTTGTCCACCGCGACCTTTTCAGATCTATTGTGGGACTCCGTTTGTTTTAGAGTATGTCGTCTAGCCTGGTCTTTTTTATTAGACTTAGTAGCTTTGACAGTGGCTCCCGCATGTAGTTGCATGCAATTGGCTTTTCTTCGCCCAATGTTAGAAACCTCATTCCAGCCAAGCCTTCACATTGGCACAGGACGTGGAATGATGTTTCCTCTTCTTCTTCACAGAACCTGCACAAAGTTGCTTCTTCTGCTGGATTTATGACACTCATGTACCTTTTGAGGCGACAGTGTCCAGTAAGAAGGCCTACTGTTATCCTAACGATTTGACGTTTTTGATCCAGTAGGTCTTTCGTAAACTTGGCCGATGGTTCCTTGATGAACTGTTTGGCCTGTCTCAGTCTTGGATAGTTGTTCCACCATTTAAAACCTTATAATGGCTACCTATATTTCAGAAAAGTAAAATCTAATAAAAATAATTTAATTTGTACAAATATTTAAAAATATTTTATTCAGAATGTCATCTTCTTTTTAAATATGTTTTCAATATTGATTCACTATGATAGGGCATACGTTATATTGGGTAGGGGGTTAATAGGGGCGAGTATTAGGAAATTTCTGATATTTATAGTTTTAGATAAGATATAGCTATTGTAAGTTTCTATCGTCACCCCGTATTATATAAGTATACAGTCGGTTGTTTAATATCTATTAAAATGAAGTGTCTTTACGAAGAGGGTTAATTTACTGAGTTTTCAGAGATACTTCAACACCAATTACCCTCATATTCTCTAGTGTCTCGCCCAAAGGCTAAGTATCTTTTATTAAAACAAACGTGTCAGCAATAGTTTAATTAATGTCCCTAAAGTACCCACCTACATACACAGACTAAGTATTTTTTTATTCAGAAAATTCCCGTACATTTCAATTTAAAACATCTTTTACTGATACTCCATTTATATGGAACTTCAGAGTTGTTTTCCTCCTTAAGAAATAATTTTCTTACAGCTTTCTAACGCTTTTCTCCAAATTTTCGACCACTCACAGTTCTAAAGCGCAAAAAATCTCTTCTGGATCCTACTTTTGACTTCTTCAGTTTTTCTTTTTATTTATATTGAAGATTTCATATGGCTACAGGAATTATGTCTGTTAGTTTGTTAATTTAAACATTCTATTTTTTTTCAACTTTTATTTATAACTTTTTTCACAAAATGAAGTCTTAACGAGTAAGTTAATCAATCTCAAAAGAAGACCCGTGTGGGGGCAAAGATTCAACAACGTCTTCCAACACGAGAGCTCTAAAGTACGAGGTCTGTAAATTAAGTAATGAGACTGATTTTTCTTAAATTTTTAATAGAAAAAGAATTACAATTCAATATTGTCACCTTCAAAATAACTTCCTTCTGAGGCCACACAGTGCTGGAGACGTTTCTTCCACTCCTCATAGCAGTGCTGGAACTCCGATACTGAAATAACCTTCAGCTGGTCGGTTACAGCCGTTTGAATTTTTTCGACTGTCACAAAATGATTTCCCTTAAGGTGACTTTTCAACTTTGGGAAGAGAAAAAAGTCACAAGGACTCAAGTCAGGCGAATAAGGAGGCTGATGAGCCACAGGAATGTTTTTACTGGCCAAAAACTCGTTTATTGAAATTGCTGTGTAACAAGGAGCATTATCATGATGCAACACCCACTTGTTCTTGATGTTTGGTCTCACACGAATGACCCTTTTTCAAAGTCTTTCAAGAACCTCTCGGTAAAAGTGTTGATTGACGGTTTGACTTTGGGGTACAAACTCTTTGTGGATATCGAAAAAACAAATCAGCATACATTTGATCTTTGACTTCGCCATCCTTACCTTTTTTGGCCTTGGAGAGGTTGAAGTGTGCCACTCCATGCTCTGACGCTTGGTTTCTGGGTCGTACTCAAACACCCAAGTCTCGTCACCAGTAATGACACGTTCCAGAAAATGGGGGTCATTTTCAATTGAATCCAAAAAGTCAAGGCACCTTTCCTTCCTGATATTCTTCAGGTCTTGCGAAAGGTTTTTTGGAACCATTTTTGCGCAGATTTTTCTCATCCCCAATTCATTGGTCAACATTTGATGAACGGTGGTGTGAGTCAAATTTAACTCTTCCCCTATAATTCTGACTGTCAACCGACGATCTGAACGCACAAGATCCCGGATTCTGTCGACATTTTCATTGGTTCTTGAAGATGAAGGCCTTCCGCTTCGTGGTTCATCTTCAATCGACTCTCTTCCTTCTGAAAATGCCTTAAACCACCGAAAAACCTGGGGCCTTGACAAAACACTATCTCCGTAGGCCTACTGAAGTTTCAGAAGAGTTTCCGTTGCACTGTGCCCAAGTCTGAAGCAAAACCTGATAGCACACCGTTGCTCGAAATTGATGTCATTCATTTTTAGAACACAATAGAAAAAACTGTTTCACAAAAACAATCGCTACGCACAACCAAATGACTCGAGCGA